TCGCCGTAAGATTTTCACACTTTTTATTGACTTTGGGAAGCAATGCTCGTCGTTTGCATCAATAATAATCCGTAAATCGACTTTGTACGTCGCGCAGCTCCATGTTAAATTGGACTGGACGTTCCGACTGAGATCCAAGGGACCTCGATGGTATCGGTCTTAATTCTGCGGGGAAAGAAACGTCTTTCGCATTTACTTGTACGTCACTGTCACTGCAGCCGCGAGCGCAATATTGCTACACTCGCGGGACATTTCGTTTTCTTAAGCGACGTCTCGACGCGGATTTACGCGCGCGCCAGTGAATCGCATTATTTCTGGAGCACGAAGCGCCCCGAACGGAATGCACTTTCTGGTACATATTTATAATTATCCCGGCGGCGGTTTCCGTGCGCGCTCTACGCGTCCGCTGTGGGTGCTTTCGCGACGTCTGCCGCGACATCCTGTTTCTTGTCTCTTTCTCTCTCTCTCTCTCGTTTTCGTTTTTCTCGTGTGCGTGCGAGAAACCCCGAGATGCGACACGTGACTGGCAAACGCGCCGCGACTTTACCCTGGGATAAAAAAGACAGACAGCAACCCATTTTGGGGCCCACAATTAGTAATCGAATTATTTGGATTGTTCGTAACTCTACTCTGGGAAAAATTTTTACCGGTTTTTTTTGCAGTTAAGCAACTTAACATTTCGGTTAGTGCCTCTTGAGTGAAAATTATCTTTGCGTTACTGAATATCGACAGAACTAATTGAGAGAATTGATTGGTATTACTTTAAAGTCTTGGATACAGATAGAATAGCTAATTGCGATTTCTAGTTCCGCGGGGTAAAATTCGTAAAAGATTAGAGTGGTTATGAAGAATCCAAATAATTGGATTACTAATTGTGGGCCCTAAAATGGGTTGTCAACTGTCCGTTTTTTCCCCCAGAGCACGAATACCTACCACCCTGCGCAGCACGTTGCGGCCGAAGCCCCGGGGTCGCTGTCCTGGAAAAAGCTTCTTAGAATAATAAGTACGCGTCTATGGTTATCTAGTAAATCCTTAAAATATTTAAGGATTTATCCGACGTCCCATGAATAGCCGGGAGAACCGAAAGCGGCCCTCTACGTACGTCGTCGGGCTTCCATTCACCAGAGATCGCTACAGATGGTTCTCTCGTGACCCGAATTTTCGAAAAAAGAAATACCATTGTACTTGAAACTCTCCCTCGTATCTTTCGGGCTCGAAGACGTAACACCGTGAGAGGCGATCGTGAAGAGAGATCGTCCGTCTGTTGTCTTTCAGATTTACTCTTAATTCTCGCAAAGTCGCGACGGCTCTCTTTAGGATTTTTCTCAGTTCTTTTTCTCCCCCTAAGAGGAAGTATCTCGTTTTCTGCGAGTAACTTGTTCGCGGAATATCTCGTTCTCGAAGCTGGGTCGATGACACGCGTTAGCTTATATAGAGAGACGTTCGGTTTAAAGGTCCATTAGATCTCCGGATGCAATATCGTTGCGACAGGTGACACACCGGATCGTAAGACGCAGATGGCGTATATTAAGGACACGCCACCCGGTATATCGTCATTGCGAAATGGAAACACGGGTGAAACACGTTTCGTTCCGATCGATCAAAAAGGGGGATAATATTATTTCACCTGAGCGTTCGAAAATATATATCCGTAAACGCACGGAGTGATATGTAAATAAACAAATTGCACGTTCCACATTTGTCCGACGTGTGCAAACTGCCAGCTGATATACATATCCGCCGTTTAACCCGTATTTTTCCGTTTTAATCGAGATGGAAAATATTCCTCTCTCCCTCTGTTCAGTTAAACAATCACGGCCATATCGTAACGTTGTCTGTTAATTATCGGCCGGCTATATTTTAGGTATGTAGAACGAAACGGCTACGCCAGTGATAGACTTAAACGTGGACGCGACTGACAAATACGAGTTCGAATTGCTTTTACTGTCGTGCTGGCCGATATCATTCCTTCTAATGTGCGTCGCGGAGAGTTTCACGATAATTACAATAGTTTGACATGTTATACCGTAAGCTGTTTTCTCCGACTGCGGACTCAGAGAGCGAGAGCAGGCGAACGAAAGAGAGAGAGAGAGAGAGAGCGAGAGGACCATGAGATGGAAAATCCATTTACGATCTAAGCTTCGGCTTAGGGTAAGCCTCAGATCGGCCCATGATTTCGGTACTTCGATAACCCAGTCGTGCCAGCCGCCGGCGAGATGTTCACCGGCGATCCTCGATCGATTTTCCTGGTATCTCCCGACACAAGGGATTAGGTCAGGGACCAGAGAAACGGGTTAGAGCACGGCGAATCGGATGCTAGCACGGCCATCCAAGTGATGAGATGATTGGCTCGCTGATGAAACCTGATAGAGCTGCCTGCTGCTTGGCCGATCTGGCTTGGCGGATTATGTTCTGCCGTGCGAGAGAGCACGCTGGATCACAGCCGCCCCTGATCTCATCCACTTCCGCCTCGGACACCTATTCCGCTCCGCGGCCTTTCGAGGACGATCTATCGCTAGAAATTCAAAGATCTCGGGAGACTCTGAAGAATCAGAAACGCTATAACTTGGGCAGCGGCCCAGTTTTCGTCGCTTACGAGAATACGAGGGACATTTTTATTTTACTTTTCACGTAAACACGCTTTTATAACACGATAGATATTTCCTGCGTACTTTCTCCAGCTATGCCGGCTCTAGCCGTTGAGAAAAATCTCGCTTCGATTATGGTTTTATCAAAGAGAATTGTTGTAATGAGCTTCGAGTGAGACTCAGATACGTATCTTGCAACTCGAGGAAGATCCCATGCGTAGTTTTAAATACAAATGTGTCGGCACATTTATGTATTTTCTTCTGAATGGATGTGACTAGTTATAGACGTGTACGCTGACCATCAATTCGAGTCAGGGCATTGTCTGCCGGCAGCGGATATCGAAGGAGGAAGAGAAAGCAACAAATTGCATCTAGTTGAAAACTCGTTCGGCCATCTCTCTTGACTTTCCACGACGAGCAGCCGGTCTCGAGAAAAATGACACTCTTATCTGAAAAATGGCCGGCCATAAACAATCCCGCGAATCGGTGTACGATAGCGGGCGGGCCGCCGCTTTCGTACAGCACACGTCTTGGTATCGCTCTTTAACCTGTCGACAAAGTACCGCGCGATAAAATTCGGGATAAATCGTGGCTTCGGTTTGAAAAATTACGCGGAAAAAGTTTTTCGGTCTGTCCTCGCGCAGATAAGATAATATTCAATCGCCAGCGGATATTCGCGTATCGCGTGTCCGCGTGTCATTAATTAGTTTCGTTTGTTAAAACTAAAATAAGGTCTTCTGTAGCTTTCAATTGATAACTCGTAGATTTTTCTGTGTCGCGGCATACCGGAAACAAGGAATGTTTTCCTTATTTTATCTATGCGAGATAAGAGACAGAAACACAAATATTGAAAGAGAACCTGGTGCTCTTTATCAAGAAGAAAAAATTGGGAATTATCAACTTCAGGTATGGGTCATAGATATTCTCAGATAGGTGCATCGATAGATGATTCCTTGTATGGAAAACGTTAACGAGATACTCTATCAGTTGGAAATAATTATTTGACTCGCATTATTTATCAGCTGCTTAATTTTTAACGTTAAATTATTCAGTAATTGTCGCAGCAAATTGAATTTTAATTGCGTCAACATTTAACTCTAAATTAATTGAAAAGTAACTAAGTCCCATTATTCATTTACTCTCCTGACATTTAATTTGCCGGGACGCTTTAATTTTCAACGTTAAATAGCGCGATAATTAGGTCTTAGATTAAATTCGCGCTGAAGGAAAAATCGACTACGAATTACTAAGAGTGCGAATACTCTTTATAAATTTACACCTCGGTCGAGACTCGTCGAAGAATAGAGAGAGAATGAGACAGACAGAGAGAGGGGGGAGAGAGAGAGAACGCGAGTGTCAAGCGAGACGCGAAATTAGGAGGAAAATTAATTGTCGCCGTAAAAAGCCATATTCCGTTCACGATCCTTTCGCGTAGACACTTTTTCTATCAAGGTGTCTTTGTCGCTCGCCTCCGTAGCTCACGAGAGAAGTTTTCTCTGGGTTTTACCGTCCGGAGAACGACGGCCGTTTAGACGTCAACAGCTGCATCGCAGCCCGCCTCGGCTGCTAGTCGGCTCTATTTGTTCCTCTTACATTCTTCATGGAATAGTTTGGTCTCGCCGTGGATATACACCGACTGACTGCGCGCCCCGAGAGGGATTAAGAATATCTTTCGGCTCTCGACGGACGTTCCGAGGCGAATCGGCGTTGGTTCGCGGGCTGCATTAGTCCCAGGGTGCTCTCCCTTCGTGCGAAGCACCACTGTGGGCCGTTTGATAAAAGGGACCGAGTGAGCCCCGTGACGACCCATGAACTCGGGAGCGTTCTCGAGGAGCCGGCGGAGGGTTGCGTCCAGAGAAAACTACTTGAATCGTAAAATTCTCCGAGATAAGACAACGACGGGATACTTTAAACATGAGAGATTTAGATAGAGGAAATCGATGCGCTCGCTGAACTTACGAATAAGTACTTTGTGAATTGGAAGATACTCTCCTTGGACACCAACGCGCGTTTATCTGAACCGAGAATAAACTTGTCCGAAAGAAGGGATATCTCATTGTTGAACCTACCGCTGTTTTGTCACTTCTTCAGACTGGTTGACTGCGAAAACCAAGAGAAATATTGCGTGTTCCTTCGCGAGCGTTTAGTTTGACCTGAATCTCACGTGAGTCGACACTGACAATCCGCTGTATCAGTATCGAATATGCGATACAAATTCGAAAAAAAGCCATTAAAAAGTTGACCTGCGGGGATGATTTCGTAATAATTCGATAGAGATTAAATTTTATTACGAAATATTAAAGAGCAATTTCTCTGAACGTCACTCTTCTGTATGAAATAAAAAAGGTTGGAGATAACTGAAACGTTTTAAAGAGGGGATTGGTGTTAATACTGATTAACTTCTTTCAGATGCCAGATGTAAAATACTTATTTAATAATACCTGACGAAGCAAATATATATAAATTTATGTTACATCCATTTGTCGTAGATAAACATAAATAGATCCTTTGATTTCTCTCGCGCGATACTTTTCTCGTATGGTAGTAGCTTTATCGAATCTTCTTGGCGTTACGAGAACGCGAATATACGTCGTACGCAGCACACTAATTTTGGCACAACTTCGCTGCGATATTTTCGCGTAAACGTTGCTTCGGTCGATCCGGACGCGATGTGATTTCCCTTCCGCAGGAACACCAAATCCGAGTGGTGCGCGGCGCTGTACGCGATTGTTCTAACAAGGCTTTATTCATACACGGTTTAAGAGCAAGAACACTTCTCGTTCTCGAGAACCGACAAGCCCGAGCCTTGTACGCATGAATTGCACTAATTTTTGACGCGCATTTCCTTCGCCATTGTGACACACAGGCACACAATCTCTCAGCTGAGAGACTCCAAGCGACCCGTTCTCGCCGGAAACTCTCTTACGCAATCGCTCCTGCAAACACACGCATGTGCGCCAACACTTTCCTCGTGCGGTTGGCAAAAAAGAAAGAGCACTCTAATCTTCACTCTCGACAACACGTAACACTTATATCACAGATAATGAACGCCGCTACGCCTTGGCCGCGTTCGCGGCGACGGAATCCTGGTCGGGCTTGGTGGGCAGTGGTCTGTTCGCCATTTTGCTGGTGGACGCGGACGTTAGCTGTGGTTCCGACAGCTCCGAGTAGAGATGGGCGGTTGCGTCGGACGGCTCGGCGTATTCGCACAGCAGCGAGTTCGGCCTCTTGTTATTCGTTTTGCCGGACGCACTCAGGATACTTTCGCCGAGGGCCTTGAGGAAGCTCATCGGCTTGGCGGATTGATTCCTGCAGCCCGAGTCGAGCTTTGGGCTCTGCGGTGGCATGCAATCGTCGGCACCGTAGCCGAGGTTCCGCGGAGGACGATCATTGCCGACAATATGATCGTTGACCACGTCCGGAGGTAATGGCTGTTGCGCCCTGCCGATCAGGCTCTCCAGAAAGGGTTGCGACAGTCGACTTGTACTGGGCACCGTCTCGTCGCCCGGCAACTCGGCATAGAGATGGTTCTGATCGGTGGTACGCTGGTCACGCGGTTGCGCGTACTCGGTGATAGGCGGTCTAGTGTGTATCCCGCTCGGCAGCAGTTTGTCCAAGGACGGGGCTCTGGTGCCAATATTTACGGACGGTCTCGGCGCACCGCGGGCTCTCCTGATCCTCGGCCGGATCACGTCGTACGCGTTCTCCTCCCGATCGCCCGCCGGTTGCCGGTTGTTGTTGTTGTTGCAACTCTCCTCGACTTTGATGAGATCGTACAGATGCTCGATCATGTCCCGCGCTTGGCTATGATTGTCAGGATCGTTGAGCCGTTCCTGGAGATCCCTCAGATATTCCTCCGTCAGTTCTTCCGGCAACGTTTGCGTGGCCTTGTTCTCCGTGTACGGGTAAACGTCACCTTCGTCCTCGTCGTCCTCCGTACCTTCCGCCTGAGTGTCCATTTCAAGAATTCTGGTCTCCGCCTGGAGACCGGCGTACTCGTGAACGCTCAGCCTCGATATCGATCTAGCGGACGTCGCGGCGGTCATACCGTTGTTGGACGACAGCCAATTCGACAGATTGATCAAGGAGCCGGATGTCAGTTTGGGGCACACGCCGCGACGGCGCATATAGAGGATCCCCGAGGCTAAGATCACCACAACGACGACGAAGACTGCCACGACGCAAACGATGACGATGATCCTCTTCTCGCGCGCCAGCTGCTCCGACTCGTTCATCTCCATGTCGAAGAATCCTTTCTGCCTCGGATAGATGTGAGGTCCTACGCTGGGCGGACTGACACTCGGCTCCAGATTCACCGATGGCTTCTCGCAATTGACGTGATCCCGTTGCGTGCATATGAGCCGCGTGAAGTTTCGCATAGCCATATAACCTTCGGGCAGATTCAGGCATCTTTTCAAGAAACTGTCGACCATGCAATAGCTCGAGTCCATCATCCACGTGACCGAGCTGTTGCGACCCGTCACTTCGCGTACCCAGTTTTCGAGTTTGCAACTGCACTTCTCACTGAAGTAATTGTTGCCGACGCGCGCCGAGTTGACGCTCTGCGAGATCGCCGCAAACCTCAGGGATCCCGGCCGTGCTTTCTGTATGCGATTGTCCGTGAAGGAAAATTCGAAATTGGGCGCCGAAGAGGCACCGACCTCCGCTTTAATCGCGTCGCTCTCCAAATTGACAAAGACATTGCGGTCGATCGCTATGCGATTCCACTGATGCAGCACGATCGAGCCCTGCTTCAGGTGTTGGAACTCGTTGTTGTTGAAGGTAACAGTCGCTGCCGATGTATTGATGGCACCAGTGTCCACCTCGGATAATCTGTATGGAGAAGGATACAATAAAATGAGGAAAAGAAAGATTTAAGCGCGCGCCGATACTCGCTGAAGAATATTAAGAAATCGAAGAATATAATTGAGGAATAAGAATTGAAAATTGAATATGAAGAAAGTCTGCGATTTTTTTATTTCTTTATTAACCGACGCTGCGTTTGCAGTAAGGATCGTAAAGCAAATTTTAAGTTGACAACCTGGAATGTTGTATCGTGAGATTATCGTGTCCGGCTCTGAAGGCCGCCGTGTTGATATTCTTAAGTTGCACATCGACGAACTCGAGGCGTTGGATGAGGGCCCTGTCGCTGAATGCGCCGGATTGAATCTCCTGGATAGTCGCGTTGCTAATAATCACGTTGAAAATAGTCATGGCACAAAAGGCGTCCTTGCGTATGACCCTCATCGAGATGTCGTCCATGCGAATTTCCGCGATAGCCGAAGGAAAGACCGCCTTGGGTAACTCCGCGATCCTCACATTTTGGAAGGTAATCTGCATAAGGGAAATTCATACGAAATTGTAATCGCGTTTCCGAGACTTTCCGGGATTCGCTCTAAGGTATAATAATTATCTGCGGACTTATAGATTTAATTAGCCGATAATTCATGTCACTGCAAATTGGTACGAATCATTCCGAGCCCCATTTGATGACAATCAAAACGGAGCATTACGAATATTATGTAATTTATTCGTAATTGATGCGTTATTCGATATCAGAAATGAATAGCGTAGTGTAACTGGGATACGAATATCGCGTGGATACGTCAATATCAATATCGGTAGTAATTTTTCAGGTAAAATGAATATAGGTGCGCGAACATTGTTTAACAGTGTAATGACGATACACGAGATAATTGGCGAGATATTCGACCTTGGTCGCTGGTCCATGTCGTCCGGGTTGAGGCGCCTCGAGCTTGAAGGCGTTGCTGAAGAGCTCCAAGGACGACACTTCCTTCACCGTGAGCCACAGCAGCCACGTGAAGGCGTTCGGTTTTATCTCCACCTGTTTGCATCGCGAAATCGAGACGCTCACCGTGCCGCGCGTGTTTCGAAAGGCGTGGCTCTCCAGGAACACGCTATTGCACTCCGACACCTCGATGTGCGTGTTGGGTACGCTGAGATTCTGAAAGGCCTGCCTCTTGGCGACCACGCTGTTGATCCCCGAAACGTGCACGCGTTTCAGGGGCGCGCCCCCGCCGAACGCGCCCGTTTGTATTCTCAATTCTCGGCAGTGAGAGACCTCGAGTTCCGTTGCCTCCGGCGGAATCATTCCCTCCAGCAACTCCACATTCTAGATCGAAAATCAAACGAAAGAACACGGTGTTATTGAGCCTTTTATCGTTCCCGATTTACGCGCCAACAAGTGCAATTAAAGAAGATTGCAACGCTGCACGGCATCGACATCTTGCCAAGGCCGTGTGCCTCGTCACTCGCCTCCTCCGTCCAGATTTACATCTTGGTTGCGTAATGCGTATCATAACTGACTAAGATTGCTTTCTGGAAACGCAATAAATGCGTACATACATTTCCTTGCTCAAGACCTCGCATGATTTACATCGGTCTTGTTTAGGATTACCATCAAAAGCCGTAAAGTCTTCTATTTTAACATAGCGCAGTTATATAGAACAGAGTGTAGTTTCGACGTTAAAATTTTGTTAAAATAAGTAGCAAGATAAATGACGAAGCTTTAATTAATTAGGATTAAACAATAGAGTTTGAGAATTTAGGTTTGACATATTCCCATTGAATTCCACGCCGACTTCCTGGCGACTATTTATAAATTTATCTCAGCACCAGTTTATCGGTATATTCCCTGAGCTAGCCCGATCATATGTGTCACTCGGACTTCTCAGCGTCTCTCGGTTTCTCTTGACGTTTTAGCAGAAAGATGCTTCGCGATAAGCTCTCTAAAGAGAGATACCCAGCATGCCCCCGATACCTTTGTGCGGCTACAAAACAGCTGTGCGCCGCAGAAAATCGCTGAAAAATATGGAATAGAGAAATATTCAACAGCCAGCCCGGATAATCCGAATTTCGCAGCCATTCACAAAATCTGACTTCTGAAAAATTCGATTCTCGTGAGATACGAATTTTTGACGATCCAAATAAATACGTTAAATAAATATCAGCGCCGTTCCGATTTTTCGCTCACTCCCCTGGGGGAGATACCCTTTCTCGCGCTTATTAGAAATTATTTATTCGTTTCTATTTTTAGACCGGAGCTTTTGTTTACCCGCGATGCACGCAAGCGCATCCGGTCCCTCCCAGCGCCTTTGACCCACCCGACAAGTAAATCCGTTATCTGGAGATATTTTCGTCCGAGATATCGCAACGCTGTTTACACGCGCGGGTTAAACACACTCGGGAAATACGACGTGCCAAGAGACATGTTAAGTAATCTTAATTGCGCGACGAGTTGATTCATTATAGAGTGTCTTCCGTGAGATACAGGAAAGACAAATGCGACGACGGATGATGTTAAGGTGCAAAACGTTAAGCGATTGAATTACTTTCTACGTGTCGCTATGCGCGAGCACGGGATAACTGACTTTCCGCGCGACTGTCACCCGTTCGTCGTTTCATCATCAAAGACTCGGCATAGGAAAATACATCACTGTATTCTAAACATGACTTGTTCGTTGAAAGATCTCGCCGCGGCTAATAGAACTGGCGAGGGATGGTTGAAACAACTATTTATCTCCGCGTAATAAAATTTCCGCGGGTTGCCGAAACGGACGAAATTATTACCCTCTTCCCGTTTGGATCTCTTCCAGATTCGGGCGCGCCCCACGTTTACTTTCCGTAGGAAATTATTTTTCCGCGTGTCCTGGTTTATTTTCACGTTTTGACTTTGGTCCATGCGAAAAAAAACTCAGACAGACGCGGACCGCATAATGCGGCGTCCCAGAAGGTCCATGCTGATTCCTTCAAAGCACCGGAAAATCGTTTCAAGAGTTCATTAGAACGCCGATGAGTCATGCCCACTGTTCGCGTTCGTCGCGCCGAGTAATGCGTGCGGTTCGACTTTCGCATCCCGTCTCTCGGTTACACCACGGGTAACACGAGGCTCCGGTTTATTCTTTCGTGTCTTGTTCGTCTCATCGCGGTCGATCCAACGATAATTCGCGGCTCGATTTCAACTGGCGAGTCGCCCCTCGAGTGCTCCCCGTCGGAATGGAAAGAAAGAAAGAAGAGAGACATCGGTATCGTCGTATATTACGGATTAATGTAAATGTCGAGCGGAGCGAGATGAAATGTTATCGCGATTACGAGCGCACGAGGGCAGCTATGCCACCGGGCGATCTCGTTGGATGACGGTGACTGCAGCTTCATTACGACTCAGATTATCCGGACAGGTACGATCTCCGATAATATTGGATTCAGTTTCGCGCGAGCGTCCGATAACGCGTATTCGGGCGAGGCTTCAGAAGCACGTACCGGGCACAGTCGCTCCAGTTCCAGTCGAAATCAATTTGTTGCACGAGATGCGCATTATTCGCATTAATTTGTTCTGACACGTTCGATCCGGGATCATTTTACGGGGGCCTTTAACGATAACGCGTGATCTCGCTTTCTTTCAAGCTGTACGCGAAATCCTGGTACTGTCCAATATGCATCGGCGCATCGGCGCATCACGAATTTCCTGCGCGCGAAGCCTCGCGTTGCCGCGAGATACGCGGCTGCTCCGGCTGATAACGCCGCGGACAAAGTAAATGTAGCGGCGCCGACGCGGCGGTAGTTTGTCCCTAATTAAAAATATGCGCGACTTCCTTGCGAGCCGGCGTGAAAGTTAGGACGGAGTTAATTAACGAAATAGAGGCACGGGAAAAACCGCGACGACGTGCGAATAAAAACGTGAGTGCCGCGCGATGTAGCATACTTGCGCGCCCTCGGATTTTACTCTCGTTGTGTATCACTGGCGACGGCTACTTCGGATGCTTCGCGCTGCGAAACAGCTGTTGCAAATGAAGGGATTGAGAGGAGAACGCGGTCAGGTGGCGGAGGGAGGCGCGAATAATGTGCGACATAACTCGGAAAATACATTCCCTCTCTGTGCCTCTCTATTTCCTCCTCGATGAATGACTAAGACTGCTTCTGAAAAGTCATACCATTTCATATGACCGGTGTGACTCAAGGGTCGGAACGTGCGGATAACGCCGGTTATTTCTGTGTCGTGGGCCTCGGGCACAAAGAGCATTTCTATTTATTTTTCTCTCTCTCTCTCTCTCTCTCTCTCTCTCTCTCTCTCTCTCTCTCTCTCTCTCTCTATCTCTCGAGACCACGCACGAGTTACGAACAACGTTAAAACGCCGGTGCGAATTAATTTCACGATACTGGGAACGAGGGATCGCGCGCTGGCCTGCAGCCATCGTAGAATTTTCTATTGCCGCGATGTGTTCTAGGCGGCAGTTTAATTTCCATAGCCGCCCGCGCTTGCTCGTGCACGTTGCGACATAATTGACGAGGACTTAACGAGAGCCGCCGCGCTATTGAATACGGAAAACATATTCAGGGATCAGTTGGTGCCAATTAACACGCCGAAATTCGGGGTTTCAATTATCAAAGGCCGCGCGATTTTCCTCGTCGTTCACTTGAAATCGTACCAGGACCGAACGACCGTGCGCGGAAACAAAGAAATCTCCGCGCGGCAACATTCGTGCTTCCGAAAAATTTTCCGGCCAGCTGATGTTACTCGAGAACGGTTGCTCGATTTGTTCTGACCCGCCCAGAAATTTCAGAGCAGAAATTTTTTAATATCGCCCCGCCTCGTTTTGCTGCGCGCCGCAACGGAGCGTGTCGAATCGTTTCCGTTATCGTTTCGGTTTAGTCCGGTTCCATATGTTCGGAGAAAAACTTTGGCCCGAGGGAGACCTCGAGATTTCGACGAATTCGGGCATTTTTACGATACATTTGACGCCACCAAGTGCGGCATTGCGATTTCTCGCGGTGATACCTGTCTAATATGCGGTCAATTTGAGCGACGCGAGAATCAACCGCTGAGAAACTTTCGAGACCCGACGTGCAGTTTTTAACATATTTCCTGAAACAAGTCAATTCGTATGTCGAATACACTTGCTTCTTTTTACCTCGCGATCCGGTGAAGAGAACGCGTTAATTAATGTCGCGCTATTTGATCAGCTATCCAAACGACTGTACCCGACAATATTACGGCGAAAACAAGATCCGTAATATCGAGAGAGCGTTGCTTCCCGACGAGAAAGCGCTGCAACGTGCGGATCGCAACGCGGAGGTTGCAGTACGTGTACCGTTAGCCGGAGAGAATCTCAAGCTGACTGTCTAGAATATCGATGAACCCGCAAGGGTTAACATCGCCTGCATGGCGCACCCGAGGAAACATTATTTCGACTTATACAACGCTCACTCGGAATGCATCGGAGCGGAAATAAAGGGAACAGACCACTTTAGCTGGATTGCGCGAATGCCACCGGACCGTGGACCCCTGGCGGTAACCGACTTTGTCCCGCGGCATTGAGAAAACTCGATAGTTTTGGCCGGACGCCACGTTCATGAAAGGAAATGATCACACGAGAGCCCTGCTTATTACAATAGTCTAATAGAGCTCGTACACGGGCAGATGTTAAAATACTTTCGCACGCGTTTGTGTCTGTACCAGCGTGTACGCTGGCGAGACACAAGAGAACGGCGCAAGAGTTTCCGCAGCATGTCAATCCACTGCGGTTAATTAATTTCAATTAAGTAGTTTGAACGTATTCTCGTTTCGTCGATGTAATGTTTAATGTGAAGAATTAATTTGCGTTATGTGAAAATTTTCACAGAAATTCGAGATGCGATAGAATGTCTTGTCGCTTTAGTTTAGTTAACTTTTGACAATATATAACTTTTGAATTACATACGGTCTGAAAGTTAACTAAAATAAAGCGACATATATTCATCATATCATTTAGGTGTTTGGGAAACTATGCGGACGATTGCCGCAAGGCTCAACGTTAAATTCATCTCGCGCCAGAGAAACACGTAGAGATTAATTTAAATCGTTGAAATTATCGAGACTCGTCAGATTTCTCAAATTTCGCATTTATACGCGATCGCGTAGCTGTCTTCTCGTCGAAAATAAAAGTAAAAATAAATTGCGAAAACCTTTCCAGTTTAAACAATAAAATTTATAAGGCTCTGACACGAAATCGCAAGGAATAAAGGATGCGAGAGCCAAGACTGAATGTTGGTGTATAAATGATAAAAATTTTTTAATTTATTGCGAAAAATTTACCTCGGCCAGGATTTGGACCTGGACCACCCTCTTTTCAGTTT